TATAGGTCAAGTTCATCAAATTGTAGCAATTTGCCATCATTTCCTTTATAAAAAACTTTCTTTCCTTTAATCATCCTCTAATACAATTCTGATTATCAAGCCAAATGGGTACTATCTACAAGTTTGGGTGTTCTTGTGCATCTCCTCTTACTTCATATCAGCTGGATGCTTCACTCTCAGCTCTAGCCCTCTGTGGCTATGTCCTTGTCCATGGGCTCAAGTGTCCTCAGGTCTCAACACACTTTGGACCAACTAGCCCTTCCTCTTCTCTCTCTCATCTCCAGGTCAACAGGAGTCTATGGAACATGGTTGAACTCAGCCCATTTCTTCATTGATGCATTCCCCTTCTTCCAATCACCAGTAGACCAATGTGGTCACCAGCAATCTTACATGCCTGCTCAATGTGTTCCCTTTGAGTTTCAGTCTTAGAGGGGGTTTGTCTTGAAGGGACTCAATTGCTTGCCTTGATGGCTTCCTGGTGAACATCTTGCTTATTTTTGTAGTAGCCAATCATACTGCTGTTTTTGTTTTGGATTGTTAAAGATTTTTATGAAATAAGGGTACAGCTGGAAAATTTTAAGTGTTCTACTTGCATATAAATCAGAAATTTTGGCTAACTTTTATTATGTTATAGCATAATTATATCCTGAAGGTATTCAACAAAGACAATTTAAACTGAAAACATGCTACTTAAAAGCTAAATAAATTGCTTTTTTTCAGTATACTGGTTAAATAATTAATGGCATGCGTTTATACCTACTAACCAACTCAAACTTCAAAATAGTTTGGTAAAACATCATTTTTTTCATCACATTGTTTTAAAAACATTTTGTTTTTTTATAAAATGTTATGATCAGTAAATGAAAGAAATACTTTTATAAACTGAAGCAATCTAAACAATATAATAGTTCACATGATATTTTTAAATATCACAAAAAGAATATTTAGTTTAAAATAGTGTTTTGATATAATTTATTAAATAAAACAATTGTTTACTTATAGACAACTTATTCTATTATAGATATATATTTAAAATTTCAGTTTCAAGTTAAAATTTTAGATTTTTAGAGTGAGGTGATTTACAATAAATAATTTTAAATATTCTTAAAATCAATTTTATACTTTCTTAAATTCTTATTCAAGTTCAATGACACCTTTTTCATGGCCTATTTTCCTCATTAAGTATAAAGAAGGTAAAATGCAAACATTAAAGTTTTAAGAATAGATATTCTTGTACAAAACATTCTACAACTTGTATTGTAGCCTCAAATTTTAGCTTTATGACCATAGGAAAGTTAGTGCTCTTTTAAAAACCTCAGTTTCCCAACATTAAAATTGGACTAATGCCTTGTTTTATGGATACTATTTGGAGAACATATTTCTAGCATGTGGTTAGCCTCTCTGAAACATGGTAGCCATTAAACATTAAAATTAGTTTTGTGTTGGTAAAACTTATTTTTTTTAAAAGCATATTTTAATATAATAATGCTTTATCACAAAGAACTATGGAAGCGTTGAAAGAGGTAATGGAGTTTAAAAATCTATGGTACTTTCAGGCAAGAAGGCAATGGGGAGGCATATATAAAACCCTGAAAGAAAAAAACTGACACCCAAGAATCCTCTACCCAGCAAAGCTGTCAATCAAATACGATGGTGTAATCAAAACATTCCAGGATAAGCAGAAGCTAAGG